AACTGCAATCTGTGAGCCACAGCACAAGGAGTGGATTTCGAACGGGGTCAGCGTGAGAAAGGGGTGGAGCGCCGCTTCGTATCGGAACAGATTGTATGGCTTGATAATCGAGGGGAACAAAGCGATCTTTCACGGCAATCGTTTTTATGATGTAAAAAAAACATTGGTGCAGATGTAGACGTATTAGAAAGCGTAGATTTTCGTAGGAGATAAAGCGAAATAGATTGAATGAATGTAGATTGAAATGGTCAGTGCTCGTCAGATCTAATCCGGTTCGGAATTTCTGGCTCAATAAATCTACGGATCTATTTCTTGGTCCGTCAGCAATGTCTAGACGCTGCCCATCCGCTTTCGTACGTATCTCATTACGTTCCTTTTCTCTGCACATCATCTCTAAAATCTTCTAGGGGGGGGGGTCTCTGCTAGAGTCAGACGCCGCGGGCGTGGGAAGGCACCGGCAAGAGCGGCGCGGGGACGGTCATGCTAGATCGCCGTGGGCATATCCTTCGTTGCAAATTGCGTGTCGGTCCGCATTTCTAGGAGATCCTACTTTCTTTCCACTGATAGGTTTCCCCTTCTTCGAACTCAGACCTTGTCGTGGAATCCTCCTTTAAGTACATGAGTGGGGTGAGGGGGTCGTAAGTGCCGAGACCAGCAATGATCAGCAACGAGAAATGTCGTAGGCAGCCGTAAATTTAAAGCTGATCAAATGAGAATGCAAAGGTGGCAAGGGCAGTGAAGAAGGAACACTGAGCTCTAGACCCCAAAAACTCGATAACTGGGACCCTCACTGCGCTCCTTGAATCTGGACAAGTTTATAGCTATGGTGCTGGCCATTTGAGTGGTTGTGCTCCAATAGAACACTTTTCTCCAATATTTTCATTTCAATTACAGAGGAAAAGGAAGTGCAGCCGACCCTGCTGGAGTTCAACTTCATGCCCGATTGTGAACGTGCAATCAACTACTATCCGGAATTTGCTGACACTGTCTTCCGCACGCTCTTCATGAACGAAATCAACACAAAGCTTGTGACCGAGATTTAGCAGACCTGAATGATTAGTCCTTTTTCTTTTACAATTAGATCGCTTTCACACTTTGGACAGTCCCTTCAAGTGGGTACCAAGCGTGCCAAATAAGCTTTCATCCATGTTACGCGCTTTGCTGGGATGCGATAAAGTGTGAAGGCACCTTTGATAATAAAAAAAATACCGAGTAATAAATAGTCGGGTTTCGCCCTCGCTTATTGTGGTCGAACTTAATATGCTAGTTGGTGCGTTAGTTGTTCACATTTGATTTCGAAGTGTACATTTTTATTGATCTACGGTCTGCCTCCTTCCAGAGCGGCCAACTTTTCCCGAGCTCCTTATGTTTTTTTTTCTTGTTTCGTGTATTTAGTCATTCTTCTTGCACTGTTATTCCGCCGATCGAGTGCACTGCTTTCTTTTTTCTCATCAAAATTGCTGATGTGATGATAAGTTCACCTCTTCAACAGTGACAATCAGTTACCACAGTTATCCGGTTCTTTTACTCAGTTCTTTATGTTGGAATTTTTCTACAATTTACAGACATCTACAGCATAAATTTATACATACATTCAAATTACAATGGAAATTAACAGAATATGAATATTCAAATGAGATGAAGGAAGAAGTCCCTGACGTCGTCCCAAACAGATGCTTTTCCAGGCTGAAATAAAAAGTGAAAATCATCAAGTGAAGTCCTCAAAAGCGATTTGTTATGATTCATAAACGGAATGAGGTTTGATATTTGAATTCTAATGAATAATTAAAAACTGTTGGTTGGCTGTTCCAAATGGAAACTACAGGGAACTCATAGTTATTAAGTTTCAACTCCCAAGGCAAATCAGGACTCGGGAAAAGGTATGGGAGATGCACAGGGTAGGTGCCTTCTGTAGGATGGCGTGCAGAGGTCCTCTACAAGGTGCAGCAGTGGTAATTATTGATGCTAGTGTTCCTTTGATTTATTTCAAAGAAAAGAAGCAGGTATGAGCCAATCGTCCTTCCCCACAATCCGAGCAAGGAGTTATATTTGAGCTTTTTGGAGGTGGGGGTTTCACATTTGAGGGCTAACCGAACTGCTCCTTCGGGAAGTCTGGAAGGAGGGATGTTTGGGAGAGAGGGTTGGGGGCATTAGGGTGGAGTTTAGGTGTGTCATCGGTCTTAGAATCAGATGCTACATAAACAGTCATGTGGTGAATCTTATGGGGGAGGGGGGTGGAGGGTGGAGAATGTAATTCCATTCTCAATTTGAGGGTGATTACGGGTGTCTCTTCCCCCTGCGAGGGATCCTTGGAACTAAAACTCGCGAATTGCTTAATTACAACCTGGTATACAGTTCCAGCAATTTCGATTTCCTTTCAAGTGCAAGCTTCAAAACTGGATATTAAAGATAGATATAACTTTGCCGGTCAAAGTAATCTATTTCTATACCCGCATATTACCGCGCCAGGAGCTCTTCTCCCGAATTATTCCCAATCGTTTATTTCCACTGCTTTGCCTGAATCGGCTTAGTAAATCTTCTCCCATATTGATCGCAGCCAATGTGCATTCAGCGGCTATTTATGCCTCCAGATCCGATCGCCGGTCAACTACCATTTTTTTGGCTTCATGCCAGGCAAAAGCTAAAGCAGTAGTTGTTTTCTGAAGGGGATAGAATACAAACCTGATTACTGAGCAGAGGGATTCCTTTACGAGTGAGGCGATATAAGCGAATAGCATGATGAGTGGCATGGACAGCATCGTTGGCGCCATGTGACATACTTGGGAACGATACCTGAAAATTGCAATCAAATCCTGTTGCTCGAAAGCTCTCATCGTAGGGTGATAGAGGCGACTGCGCCTACCTCATTTTCAACTGATACTGTTTTTGAATAGGAGACCAGCTTTGACTCTTCATCTTCGGTTTCTTCCATTTCATAAGATGTGTGATGCGTGAATATGGGAGAGGGTGCCTTCACTATCGAACCAGTGATGTTCACCTCCTTAAAATGAATGTTTTTTTAGAGAGAAAACGCAGGAAAGTATAATTTCGAGGCGTACGGGCTGATTGGTGGCTACGATCCTGCCAGCGCCGAAGGTACGAATAAAGGTGAAGTTGGTGGCCGTGGACAGGGCGAAGATATCACAAGAATCCATCGTGTTGATGTCACACTCGCCGTGAGCCCTTTCCATGCACAAAAAGTATGAACCGTTCTGAAATTCAGGTGATTAGTGGACGTGTTTGTTAGATTATGCTCACGGGAGAGCACAACATACCATCACATAGCAGGACTCGAATTCAACGGGAATGATTTCATCTTCTTCTTCGATCACCACCACGTATTCGGGAACCTCGTAGAACACGAAAGCCTGGTTCTCGGGCATGAACTGTCCAGCATGGGCTATCTGAATACAGGAATTTTGCGGCTGGGGATTGCTGACGAATAATGTGAACATAGAACACTTCGGATGACTTGCTCACTGATTCCCTATGATTTTGTGATACTACTCTGAATCATCCACTCAGCAATACTAGGTAATTCTAACGGAATAGAGCTGAGAACAACACTGCCAGGCGCAGTAGCTTTAGATGCAGAAAAGGAGCCCTCTGCAAAGTAAGCAAGCTAGCCCTTTTGGTGGAGCTGCTAGACCAGCTGCACCACTTGCTCCATCTTGCGTCATTAGTCTCCACCGTAACGACCGAGTTGAAGTAGTCCGTCTACCGTAGGGGACCCATCCCCTCCTCAACATTCAGCATACGACCCCAGCAGAAACGCCAGAAGGGCTGGTCTTGTGCCTACCTGGCCCTCTCGCGCGAGGGAACGTTCGCTGATTCGCCAACGGTACCGTCTGCGACCAAATTCTGTGCGTGCTGCGGGGAAATCCTTGTTGGCAGGGTAGTGCAGAAATAGTTGTGTTGTTTTGAGCAGGAGTATTCCCAAGTGTGACCTGTGGTGTTATTTACATCATTCGGCGCTCTTGGGTCTCAGCTGGTTGTCGGCACGTTCTTTTCTCTCGTTTTCTCTCAAGTATTGTCTGTTCGTACTGTCTCTCTTCTTTCGTTTTCACCTCTCTCGGTTTCTTCATCGTGCTATGTATCACATGTGTGGCAAAAGCTCAGGTGTAGCAGAAGTCATGGAACTAGAGGATCTTATTTAGGGTATTCTCTGTAATCTCTCGCTTCCTCAGGCTTCTTCTTTCGTCCACCCTCATTGCTGACTTTCCTAGGTTTTACGGAATGCAAGGACACAACACATGGAACCCCATTTAAAAATTTTCGATACTATGAAGGGGAGGCGGTCATATGGCGATATCACATTGGCATTAGAGCGCACAGGCGGCATTCGCCCTATCCTGCTGTGGCCGGACAACTCGTCCGCGCAACACATTCTGTTCCGTTCCTCTTGCCTTGGCATCAGGCCAGCGAAGCTATCCGCTCTTTTTCAGATCTTTGGGACTCAGCGAGATTTTTGAGACCCAAATTATCAGATCGATCAATTACTGAAGTCTAGTAGTTGAGTGATACGGACGAGTTGTCCGGCCACAGCAGGATGGGCAATTACGGCCTGTGCGCTCTAATGCCAATGGGATCGCGCCATATGACGCACGTCCCTATGAAGTATCATTTGCATAAATTTATAACACGAAACCTATCACTTACCGCATAGAGAACTCCTTGTTGCGCAGCACTTTCGAAGTTTGAGCAAAGCAGGACACTAACTGTCATATCAGGGATATAACAACTCTTTGGAAAAACAATAGAGGCAGCCGCAAACTCGGACACATCATCGTCGTACCAGTTCTGAAAAACGTCCTGATTACTGTAGATGCATTGTGTACGGTAACGAAGAAACGGTACCTGATCGATGAGACTGTAGAAAGCGGAATTGATCTTGTTGTATAGGAAAAGGCTCCGAAGATCGTTGTCGAATTTTCGTATCGCCCACAACAGGCGGTGCCGATCCAAATATCCGGATGCTCTGAAATGTGAGAGTGCAGTCTTGAGGGATCATAGTTCTAGAACTATTGTTCATCAGAAGCTTTTAGATGGGCTGCACATCGATCTCCGTTTATAAACGTGGTGGCTACGGTATTTTGACTATGGTACTTAGATTGAGGCGTGGCATGGTGGCGCTTAGCACAGTTCAAGGCTCAATGCTGATGGCGAGTTGAAATCTCCTTTAGGCTGAACAAGATTTCCGCTCTCATGAATCAACTGATTGGACCCGATTTATTTGGAAGGATGGAAGCACAGCCGTCTAGCTCTTTAATGTCAACTGGTTGTGAAAAACCTCGTAAACTTTCACTAACGAACTGTATGAAAATGAAGGTGCAGCATGGCGCATACTCAAAAGCACTGGGCGTCGGCCATTCTACATGTTGTTTCATTCATGAACCGTTGTGGGTCTAGACGGAGTTGGGGTAAATATATTTAAGGCGGCAGAAAGAGGAGCAGGGAAGAAATGATAGGTTTTGTATGCCCGTAAGGGAATCTGCCAAGCGTAGTTTAAGAATGAGTACAAGGCTTTGTGGCACTGAATCGTCTGTCTTCAATGTTGAACGGCAAGCAACAAAAACGAAGCATGCAAAACTTGGAAAATCCTGTTGAAAGGCTCTCAGCTTGTTTGCTGTAAAAAGACCGGATTCCTCGTAAAGAGAAGGTATAGGTCCTTTTTAATACAATAACTTACTACTGATTACGAACCAATAGTCTGAGGTTATAGCTATCGAGACGGTTGGGAATACGCTTTGAAGATTTTCCCATCAGTATCAGCATCGAAGCATCAAGGAAACATCATCTTACTCCCATTGAATGTGACTACTTCGACATAGCCCATTATCTCGTGGAAAGCATCGCTCCTTCGAGAAGAGTCATACAATAGAGCATAAAATATTTAAAGCGTGCAAAGGTAAACGAGGAAAAGTCGGTCAAAGAGTAAAGAAGCTAACCGCGCCCGCCGATTCTAGTATTGAAGACCCTTGTCTTTGAAATTTTCTACAGCAGATGTTACATATCCAAATGACAAAGCGGTGAATACGAGACCTACTAACATTCTGAAAGGTGCTGAAGTTACTGTGGAACCTTGTAATTACATTTTGCTAGCAACGAGTGACAAAAAACATTCTCTTTCTGATGGTGGTTTCCGTGAAAGATAAGCCTAAGCCTTTTTCAAAGTAGTTGCATGGAGAGCTGTAATCAGGGCAGAAATTGGGAAATTCCGGTGTCAAAAAGAAATCTCCGCTACAATTATTGCTAGACTGAAAATGGTGAGAAGGAATGGTACTGTTCTCTGGGTAAGCGAGTTCCCAGAAATTGGACTGGTATGAATAATGGTGAGAATACTGAAGGCTACAAATGTTCGATCAGCCAAATAGAATCAGGAAGAGGTCAAATGTACTCAGTGGGCTCTGGTCGTGGGTCGCACAATGCCTGCTGGTTGTGACATAATAACCGTAAATGTGACCTAAGGAGGCTGGTGATGTGCAATGCTCAAAGAAATGCCGATGGAGTCTGTGCAGCAGACCTTCGCAGATGTGCCGGTATTTTCCAGCATCCAATTTCACTGAAACGAGAATGCAACAAGCCCCGACTGTGGCCAAAAAAACTCTAAGAAGAAACCTCTATTGATAGACTTGAATTATTTTAAGTTTATTTGACTTAACAAAACACGAGGTTGATAATATGATTCCGGCGGCTAACGTTTCGGCGGTTTCGCCTTCTTTCGGAGCCTAAAAAGTGGAAACAATTCATGATTTATTCGACCAAATGTCTCGCTACCCTACGAGAGCTTCGAGACCTAGCTAAACATCACATAATTAGTAAGGCAGATTGAGTACCGTACCTTCCTAGATCAGCGGAATCAGCTCACAAGAGACTGTATAGCGGATATTAGACTAATCCGAATTCAGGGGTTTCTGGCTGGAAGGGCTAACCTTATATAGGGGGTAGTTCCCGCGTTATTGAGACACATTCTCTCCTGTGGTTCATTTTTGGATTCGTGAGAAATATTTAGATAGAATTCATTTTAGTTTGGACTGAAATGGTAAGCTTGACTGCGGAGTTTTATTTGTAATCCGTATCTGTAATACGGTCTAGTTGAGTGGACCTATGAAGGCCGGGCTCCACCTTTATAGGAGAAGAAGCTTATCGCTCAAGGTAAAAGAGCCTTTTGTTCGTAGTAGTAGAGCTGAGCTACCGCGTAATTTCCCAAAACTTTATGAAATACAGCAAGAAATTAAAAAAAATATCTAAATAAAAATAACTAATACAATAAAAAAAATAAAGATGATAAAATAAAATGATCAGGATAAATGAGTACGGCTGCCTGTGGAGTTTCGAGAAAAGTTCACCTTCACTATCTTACTTTGTGATCGTCGCAGATCTGACTGAGAGGGGAAATGAAGGGATAAAATTTGTAATAGATATTACCTGACAGACATATGGGTTCGGATTTAATAGGTGTCTCCACAATAGCGCCATGGAGCCACGAAAAGAGTCCCTTTATAGAATCCTAAAAAGCTGTTTTTTTAAACAGTGTGAATGGAAATTATTTGAAACCGTATCAATATAGCTTGCGATTTTTCGAGTCTCTAAATGCAATCGCGGTTGCATTTGCTATTTGGCCCCCATAAAAATAACGGAGAGATCAAAGTGTACCGTCCTTCTCCTTTTCAAGCAATTCTGTTCACATAAGCTTTTTTCGTTTTGACTGAGATGCGAGAACGGGCCGAAGTAAAGATAGTGCATAATTATAACTTCAAGCCGTCCAATATTGTTTGGCTTTACTAGGCTTATTCTTCCACTCCACTGCTGTCGACAGGGTTTAAAATGCTCAAAAAAACTAACATGTATTGCCTCTTCCTCGAACGCTTCAAATGCTCAGGACAGTTCCGCTTAGCTAGCCCAGCTTTTAGCGGTGTTTCTCCACAGATTCTTGACGGTTGCTTTATTGAGATACATGAATGACTGTGCTTCAATGTGAAATAACCAGTGGTCGCATCGCTCCATTCCGTCCTCCATTCCAGCAGCAGTTCGCCCTGGGGTGGTCTACTGCTGCAATAGAGGGAGCCTTTGATCGGAGCGTTATTGGCGGATTCTTTCGCTTTCTTTTTCTTTTTAAGTTCACCCCCATCCCGAGGTTTCGTTGTCGAACCCTCTTATACACCCGCTCTCCACCCGAGGTTTGGTTCAAATACTGCAGGAGAAATTTTCATTTCAACAAATATTGTATTTTGGCTACTATCGTTGCTATTTCGTTGTATGTGAACTTCAGCAAGTTGTCAAGGCGCTCGCCCTGTGTGAATAGCCGAAAATCCTTGTGCTAGGAAATATGAGGTCCTTTCACTTTTTTGAGCCA